TTTTTTTGCAATTTATTATATTGGTATTTCTTCTTTTGAACATATATTTTGTTTTAATGTATAATAAAACAGGTACAGCATCTTTATATCAGCCCTTCAACCCATATAAGTCTTTCAATAGGAGAAAGACTGCTCACAATATGGCCAAACAGAGGTAGCATTTTAAATAAACAACGGCTTCATACATACATCTTCATTCATGTCTGAAGTTGTGGTAACTTACATTAAAACTTTGACATTGTATATGTATCATTTACATTGAATTAAAATTATCATTATAAAAATAATTAAAAATAAAATAAAAAGTGTTGTATCCCCAAATGTGAATAGCGAGCAGTCAGAAAAGCGTCTTTCGGTAATGGCCCAAATCACGCCGCCAATGTATTCGGGATACAATCTGACTTTCCCACCTCCCTCACTTGGACCTCAACAGTATTCTGGGCAACACTATCCTCCACATTTACAATTTGTTTCCAACTCATCTGTGCAGACTCCCACTTCTGAACAGCCGGTCACACTTAACACCACAATTTGGCCCGGTAGTCTTGGAGACAATCCCTCATCCAGTGCTCAAAATGTTCAAAATCAAGCATGGTTCTTCACATTATTGGCAGAGTTGAATGCAATAAAATCAAGCCAATACGCTTTAGAAACAAAGCTTTCTAAACTTGATAAAATAGAGTCAGATGCTCTCAATATGAAAAAAGTTGAAAACCGTATATGGTCTCTTGAGGAACCTATGGGGCAAACTACTACCAAATTAAATGATTTAGAAGCAAGCAGAAACTTTGACTCTGAAATGGGTGATGATTTAAAAAAGAAAAATGAAGAAGTTATGAATGCTTTGAAGGCAGAAAAATAAAAAAATGATGGCTTATTAAAATCAGTTGATGACCTAAGACGTGAGAAAAAATCGTTAAAAAATAATGTTATTGACCTTTAAGGGCGTTCAATGAGAGATAACCTGTTATTCTACAATATTGATGAAGAGAAAGATAAAGAGGCTAGAAAGAAAGAAAATTGTACAGAGAAAGTATTGAAGTTTCTGTGTTGACAAGATTGGAATAATTGACGCATATAAATATAAAATTGATAGGGCGCATCGTGTCGGAAGTCATGAACATGGCAAAATACGCCCAATTGCTGCCAAGTTTAATAATTAATTAATTCATGACCTTTCAGAATTTTCTGATCACTGTCCAATTTCGTTTTCAGTTTCAAATGTTGATAACAAACCTATTGCAAATGAAGATATAACTTATCACAAAATAGTATGGGAAGATATCGATAATGGTAAACTTGATTCATTATTGTATGAATATAAAAAATCTTTTGATGACATTACAAATAATTTATTGTTTGATAACATTGACATTGATACTTGTATAAACTTGTTTTCTGATTTAGTTTTTGATATTTCATTCAAAGTGAATGGTAAAACTATAAAGAAGAGTTCAACAAGAAAACCTTCCAAACTTAAAACGTCATTATGGTTTGACAATGATTGTAAGCGAAATAAAAATGAATTTTATAGGTGCAAAAGATTATTTAACGATAATCCGTCAGACTGCAATAGAAATTTGTTTTTTAATGCACGAAGCATTTTTTGTGCGAATAAGCGCAAAACTAAAAAGCAATATTTTTTATCAGGAAACGAAAACGCTTTCTAAGTTGAGCAAGACTAATAATAAACAATTTAGGAAATATATTAAAAAATATAAAACTAAATCGAGTAATACAAATCATAATGTTAGTTTTCATGAATTTGTTGAATACTTTAGTAATATGTCTAATACACAGCATGAAAATGTTTTTTCAACCCTGAACATTTTTCTAACAGAACAGATACGGTACAGATTGAGAGTCTTGATTGTAAATTTAGTATTGATGAAATACGTAAGACAATAGCATGTTTGAAAAGGCATAAAAGCTGTGACAATTGATAACAATGTAGCGGATTTTTTCATAGATTCTAAAGTTTTTATTGCTCCTTATCTTGTAAAACTTTTTGATAATATATTTGATAAAGGTGAATATCCTGAATATTGGAGTAAAGGCGTTATCATTCCTATTTTTAAAAAAGGCGATCGTAAGGTTCCTTCAAATTATAGAGGGATTACAATTGTCAATGTTTTGGCAAAGATTTTTTATTAGCGTTAAGAAACCGCATTAATAAATGGTGAGAAGAGGAACACGTTTTTAATGAATCCCAGTTTGGTTTTAGAGATGGGCGGAGTACTGCTGATTGTGTGTTGATATTGCATAGTATTATTCAGAAAATACTTTCAAAAAATCTAAACTGTGCGTTCATCGATTATGAACGAGCTTTTGATACGGTTATACATGAAGCATTGTGGGTTAAACTAATAGAATCTGGTATCAGCTGCAAAATGGTTGAATGGTAAAAGCTATCTATCAAAACGTAAAATCTTGTGTAAAAGACACAGTTTACTTGACCATAGGGAGTCTTAAATTCCCTGTTACCGACGTCTCAAAATTGCCAAAATCACTATTTTGCCTTGATTTTTTCCATCAAAATTTAGTTCAAAGTGCTGCAACTTCTCAAGGGATTGAGATAGAGTCAAAGGCTTTTCAATGGTGGTTACACGTTACCTTATGATCGACCTGGGGTCATTTTAGCCTCTCATAAGTCCAAACAGATGGGAGCACATCCCCCTTCAGGCAACCCCCTGATGTATCTTTTGGATGGGGGCGGCGCCAAAAAAGTGATCACTTTATTTAGCAACATTTCTCAAACGAAAACATGTGTTTGGGGCCCAAATAGGACATTTTTTCACTATCGGAGGCCTAAAAGAGGGGGGGGGGGAGTCGAAAGTGCGTTGTTTCGCGTATATATGAGGTAAAGGGTTAACTATATTCTGTATTAAAGCAAAGATAACAGGATCAATACGTACAAGAGTGGAGCGAAACAACTGCAAATCAACCAAAACTTAAATTTTACTGTTTGTTCAAGACAAAGAATTTTCTTTTGAAAAATATTTAACTGTGGTAGATAAAAGTTCCTGTAGACAAACAATGTCTCGATTTAGATTGTCGTCACATAATTTAGAAGTTGAAAATGGTAGACTTGTTGGAATTGATAGAAATGATCGTATCTGTAAAATGTGTAGTACTCATGTTGAAAACGAATATCATTTTTTACTCTGTTGTCCTATTTACAAAGAGTTGCGTAAAAGATATTGTATAAACTATTCCTTTCCTACTCTAAATAAATTTTATTTTCATTTGTCAAGTAAAAATATAAGAAAAATAAGAAATGTTGCAAAATTTACTTCATGTTCTATGAAATTAAAAGCAGAATTGCTTGCAAATATGGCTGCTCCTTAAAATATCTGTTTAAATTACTTTCAAGTTATAGAAATATTGTTAAAATAATCGTTTGATGTATATATGTTTTTGTATGTTATATTTATATTGTATATATTTCTCTTGTCTTTGCCATCATGAAAGTTATTGTAAATTGCCAAAGGCATTTTCTCATGCCGATTTAGTCAAAATAAACTGTATAAACTGTAAACTATTGTCGTTATACACAAATAGTTTATCGAGGCTGAGAAGAATGTACTGGTGCGGTTTTGCGTGCGGGCCATGGTAGATCTAACCAGTACTGGTATTGTCTGTATTGCAGTTCAGCAGGACGGTCGTCTTGACCCTCTTGATTATAAATGACGTAAATCCTGCCCTCATGTGACCATGCCTTTTTTACGGAGTTTCTGTCTTTTAATCGCACAGCGGATAGCACTTCTTGGTTAATCTTAGTAAGGTCATCGTTTATATAAATTGAATATTGGCGCAGTTGTTTTGCATGTTTAAAAACATGTATCTTGGTTTGTCGTCGAACAAACTTTACTATTACTGGCCTTTGTTTGCCTTGAATGTATTTTCCTAGACGATGTGCGACGTCAATATCATGAGTACTGAGTTCGAGACCAGTTTTCTCTTTAATTGTGTTTATAACAAGTTCCGTGGTTATTTCTGATGACTGACGGTTTGTGTCTCCATTAAGACCAGAAATGCGGATATTGTTGCGACGCCCATACTGCTCAAGCTCATTTGTTACCTTATCAACGTAGAATTCGTCAGATTTGACGCGGTCTTTCAGACGTTTGTTGTCTTCCGTTAGATTTGCATATTACAAATTCATTTCTGCTAATCGTCTTGTACATTTTATCTTGAATATTCTTTTGTTTGACTTTCCCGCGTACTGCGAATTTCGAATTCTATTAAAAAAGACAGTTTTGTTTGTTTTAATTGAACAATATTCAACCACTAACAATAAATGATACCAATTTTTATATATATGCCAGTATTTCATTTTAAAATAAAGTTCAATTTTTTTTCTAAAAAACTGTATCCATTTTCAAAAACATGTATGCACTGTCCGCCATCTTGGTTATTGTGTTACAGCGCAAACGGAAATTTTACTTGTGCATGTAAATCGGGTTATACAGCCGATGGCATGTATTGTACAGTAGTAACGTCATTGATCAGATACAATTGTAAAAACATATTTGCAATTGATCTTTATTTACAAGATCTATTTTTGTCAATAGAGATCATGCTAATGAATAAAACGTTTTAAACATGATTTTACGCTAAATAAATAAACAATTCAAATGTATTTGATACGTATAATGTAGAGATATAACCATTTATTTGATGGTTTTGAGGGGATAACTAATTTATCCTTGAAATTCTTTTTTTTTCGCTACTCTTCAATGATGATACTACTTTTTAAAACTTTTCCCAATGTGGTAACACACTTTTAATTTCGCTTACAATTCCGACATAATCAGGCCTTGTTTGAACGGAGTAATGCTGACATTGATAGATAACTTAAATTTCAAACCTCATCAAAAAGATAATACTCAATTTAATGCCATTGACAATCATCTAAAAAGAAGACAATTACGATAAAATAATTATGAGTTTGAAGCAATTTCATATAATAAGTATGTTCCGATTTTTTATTTGTCTAGCTGATGTTTCTACTACAACATGTACACATGATGATAACTGTACCAGCAATGCAAGTTGTTCAGACGGTAGCTGCAGTTGTGATACAGGGTATACTGAAAATGGGAATGTTTGCGAAGGTACTGTCGTAATTATGTCAAATGAAGAAGTTATGAACTATGAAGATAGACAAAATGTGTTTTATTATATAACATTTTGCGATAAATGTGATGAAGATAAAAATCAGTATTTTTATCATCATTAACAAAATAATAATTACCCTTATCAACAGTTATGATTAATCAAACGAAGCCTGCAACAGTTTTCATTTGTCGTGTTGAGTTTACTTACGAGATGCTGTTTTCCTCTATATTCTGTTTCATCCAACATACCTGTTGAGATCAATGAAAAAAATGTAATTAAACTTAAGATATCAAATATCAACAGTGACGTTTTATGCACTGATAAATATTCAAAATTATTACCTGATATATAAATGTAATTTGATATTTTTTTACTGTTTTCTGAAATTCCTAAAACATCCACGTTTGGGAACTGTTGACCGGTCAATAGTTTCGACTGTTTCCCTCGCGTGCTCTGACGTCATAGAGAATTCCTCCTTGGAGCGTCATAAACCAGATGGTGACGTGACATAGTTAAAAGTGTTAAATTCGGAAAGTTAAATTATTAACATTTTTGAAAAAACTATTTTCTTGTTATTTTTCTTCTGCAAGTACTGTTAAAACAGTAATTGATCAGGTAATAAAACAGTTATTTCATCTGTGATTTGGAAACAATCAACCAGTTGCCCCTCTGTGTCGGGGAAAGTCTTTTGAACTGTTGCCCTCGGTCCACAGCCTTGGGCAACAGTTCAAAACACTATCCCCTTTAACTCGGGCCACCAGTTTGTCTGTTCCCAAATCACATATTAAATAACTGTATACTACCAGTCTTCAGTTATTGAGATATTTTCAAAAAAGAAACCTAAAGATGTTTATTGAAAATTCATATGAACATATTGAGCTCAAATAGTTTAAATATCAATTAAAATTATTTAATTCTGGAATGATTTGTCACTTTACAGAAACAGAAGATAGTTCTACAAATGTCACAACAATACAAACAAGTACCACAACAACAACGCCTACAAATAGCAATACAGCGGCTACAAATAGTGTTACAACTACTACAACTGCGACAAATAGTGCTATAATTACTACAACGCCGACAAATAGTGCTATAATTACTGCAACGCCGACTATAATTACTGCAACGCCTACAAATAGTGCTATGATTACTACAACGCCGACAAATAGTGCTATAATTACTGCAACGCCTACAAATAGTGCTATAATTACTACAACGCCGACAAATAGTGCTATAACTACTGCAACGCCAACAAATAGTGCTATAATTGATACAACGCCTTCATATAGTGCTATAATTACTGCAACGCCTACAAATAGTGCTATGATTACTACAATGCCGACAAATAGTGCCATAATAACTGCAACGCCTACAAATAGTGCTATAATTACTACAACGCCGACAAATAGTGCTATAATTACTGCAACGCTTACAAATAGTTCTATAATTACTACAACGCCGACAAATAGTGCTATAACTACTGCAACGTCGACAAATAGTGCTATAATTACTGCAACGCCTACAAATAGTGCTATAATTACTACAACGCCGACAAATAGTGCTATAACTACTGCAACGCCTACAAATAGTGCTATAATTGATACAACGCCTACATATAGTGCTATAATTACTGCAACGCCTACAAATAGTGCTATAATTGATACAACGCCTACAAATAGTGCTTTAATTACTGCATCGCCTACAAATAGTGCTATAACTACTGCAACGCTTACAAATAGTGCTATAATTGATACAACGCCTACAAATAGTGCTATAATTACTACATCACCGACAAATAGTGCTATAATTACTGCAACGCCTACAAATAGTGCTATAATTACTATAACGCCGACAAATAGTGCTATAACTACTGCAACGCCTACAAATAGTGCTATAATTACTACAACACCGACGAATAGTGCTATAACTACTGCAACGCCAACAAATAGTGCTATAAGTACTACAACACCGACGAATAGTGCTATAATTACTGCAACGCCGACAAATAGTGCTATAATCACTGCAACGCAGACAAATAGTCCTATAATTACTACAACGCCGATAAATAGTGCTATAATTGATACAACGCCAACAAATAGTGCTATAAGTACTACAACACCGACGAATAGTGCTATAATTACTACAACGCCGACAAATAGTGCTATAATTACTGCAACGCCGACAAATAGTGCTATAATTACTACAACGCCGATAAATAGTGCTATAATTGATACAACGCCAACAAATAGTGCTATAATTACTACAACACCGACAAATAGTGCTTTAATTACTGCAACGCCGACAAATAGTGCTATAATTACTGCAACGCCAACAAATAGTGCTATAATTACTACAACACCGACAAATAGTGCTATAATTGATACAACGCCTACATATAGTGCTATCACTACATGGCCTACATATAGTGCTTCAACTTCTACAACACCTACATATTATCCTACAACTATATTGCCTTCAAATAGTGTAACCATTACTGCAACGCCAACAAATAGTGCTATAATTACTACAACACCAACAAATAGTACTATAATTGATACAACGCCTACATATAGTACTACCAGTTCAACTTCTACAACACCTACATATTATCCTACAACTACATTGCCTACAAATAGTGTTACCATTTCTGCAACGCCAACAAATAGTGCTACCACTACTGCAACACCTATATTTAATATTACCACTACATGGCCTACAAATGGTGCTACCACTACTACAACGCCTATATATAGTACGACCACTACATTGCCTACAAATAGTTCTACAACTTCTACAACGCTTACATATAATGCTACAACTACATTGCCTACAAATAGTGCTACCACTACTACAACACCCATATTTAATACTACCACTACATGGCCTACAAATGGTGCTACCACTACTACAACGCCTATATATAGTACGACCACTACATTGCCTACAAATAGTTCTACAACTTCTACAACGCCTACATATAATGCTACAACTACATTGCCTACAAATAGTGTTACCATTACTACAACGCCTACAAGTAGTGCTACCACTACTACAACACCTATATATAGTTCAACCACTTCATGGCCTACAAATAGTGCTACAATTACAACAACGCCGACAAATAGTACTATTACAACAATGCCGGAAAATAGTGCTACAACCACTACAATGTCTACAAGTACTGTTAAAACTACTTCAACGCCTATATATAGTGCTATCACTACATGGCCTACATATAGTTCTTCAACTTCTACAACACCTACATATTATCCTACAACTATATTGCCTACAAATAGTGTTACAATTACTGCAACGCCAACAAATAGTGATATAATTACTACAACACCGACAAATAGTGCTATAATTACTGCAACGCCAGCAAATAGTGCTATAATTACTGCAACGCCATCAAATAGTGCTATAATTACTACAACACCGACAAATAGTGCTATAATTACTGCAACGCCATCAAATAGTGCTATAATTACTACAACGCCTACAAATAGTGCTATAATTACTGCAACGCCATCAAATAGTGCTATAATTACTACAACACCGACAAATAGTGCTATAATTGATACAACGCCTACATATAGTGCTATCACTACATGGCCTACATATAGTGCTTCAACTTCTACAACACCTACATATTATCCTACAACTATATTGCCTTCAAATAGTGTTGCCATTACTGCAACGCCAACAAATAGTGCTATAATTACTACAACATCGACACATAGTGCTATAATTGATACAACGCCTACATATAGTACTACCAGTTCAACTTCTACAACACCTACATATTATCCTACAACTATATTGCCTACAAATAGTGTTACCAATACTGCAACGTCAACAAATAGTGCTACCACTACTACAACGCCTATATATAGTACGACCACTACATGGCCTACAAATAGTGCTACAACTTCTACAACGCCTACATATAATGCTACAACTATATTGCCTACAAATAGTGTTACCATTACTACAACGCCTACAAATAGTGCTACCACTACTACAACACCTATATATAGTTCAACCACTTCACTGCCTACAAATAGTGCTACAATTACAACAATGCCTACAAATAGTGCAATAACAACTACAACGTCTGTATATAGTACTACTAATACCTTGCCCACATTTAATGCTACAACAACTACAACAACACCTACAAATAGTGCTACAACTTTTATAACGCCTACATATAGTACTACCACTACATGGCCTACAAATAGTGCAATAACAACTACAACGTCTGTATATAGTACTTCCAATACCTTGCCCACATTTAATGCTTCAACAACTACAACACCTACAAATAGTGCTAAAACTTTTATTACGCCTACATATAGTACTACCACTACATGGCCTACAAATAGTGCTACAACTACAACAACGCGGAAAAATAGTTATACAACTACTACAACGCTGACAAATAGTTATACAACTACTACAACGCCGACAAATAGTTATACAACTACTACAACGCCGACAAATAGTTATACAACTACAACAACGCCGAGAAATAGTTATACAATTACAACAACGCCGACAAATAGTTATACAACTACTACAACGCCGACAAATAGTTATACAACTACTACAACGCCGACAAATAGCACTACCACTGCTACAACAACTATATATAGTACAACCAGTACAACACCTACATACAGTACTGCCACTACATGGCCTACAAATAGTGCTATTACTTCAACAACGCCGACAAATAGTACTACAACTACACCAACTCCGACAAATAGTGCTACTACTACTACAACGCCGACAAATAGTGCTATAACTACTACAACGCCTACAGATAGTGCTATAATTACTACAACGCCTACAAATAGTGCTATAATTACTACAACGCCTACAAATAGTGCTACAACTACTACAACGGCTACGCATAGTGCCTCAACTGCAACAACGCCTATACATAGTGCTACAACTACTACAACGCCGATAAATAGTGCTATAATTACTAAAACGCCGACAAAAATTGCATCTTTTTCTACAACTCCTACAAATAGTGCTACAACTACTACCACGCCTAGACATAGTACTACCAGTACAGAGCCTACATATAGTACTACATCTTTTATAACGTCTACATATATTACTACCACTACCACGCCTACAAATAGTTTTACAACTCCCACATATAGTTCTACAACTATTACAACCCCTACACATAGAATTAGCACTACAACGTTTAAACATAGTGCTACAACTACTACACCTCCTACATATAGTGCTATTACCACCAATACGCCAACAAATAGTGTTAAAAATACTACAACGCCTACATATAGTTTTACCTCTACAACGCCGACATATAGTTCTACAACTACTGCAACGCCGATTTATAGTACTGCCACTTCATGGCCGACATATAGTGTAACAGCTACTACAACACTTTCCAGTAGTGCTACCACTACAACGCCTACATATAGTACTACAACTTCTACAACGCCTTTGTATAGTAATACTACTACACGGCCTTCATATAGTGCTACAACAACTTCAACGCCTACCAATAGTGCTCTTACTACTACAACGCCGACAAACAGTGCTATAATTTCTACAACGCCTACAAAAAGTGCTATAATTACTACAACGCCTACACATAATACTACCATAACAACGCCTATATATAGTACTGCCACTACTACAACGCCGACAAAAAGTGCTTCAACTGCTACAACGCCTGCCAATAGTGCCTCCACTTCTACAACGTCTATATATATTACTACCACTACATGGCCTACAGATAGTGCTACAACTACTAGAACGCCTATATATAGTACTACCACAACATGGCCTACAAATAGTGCTACAACAACTACAACGCCGACAAATAATGCTACAAGTACTAGAATGCCGACAAATAGTGCTATAATTACTACAACGCCGACAAATAGTGCTGATATTACTACAACGCCTACAAATAGTGCTACATCTGCTACAGCGTCTATATATAGTACTTCCAATACATTGACTACAAATAGTGCTACAACTACTACAACGAGAACAAATGCTGTTACAACTAATACAACGATTACATATATAACTACCACTACATGGGCTACAAATAGTGCTTTTACTTCAGCAACGCCTACAAATGGTGCTACAACTACTACAACGCCTATATATAGTACTACCACTTCGTGGCCTACATATAGTACTATCACTACTACAACGCCTATATATAGTACTACCATTACTACAACGCCTACAAATAGTGCTACAACTACATCACCCAGAAATAATGTCACTACTACAACACCTACAAATAGTAATACTACAACTTATTTGTTCAGATTTTTTATTAATACTGTCATATGTCATATAACATTTAACGGTGCACAGAAAGTTTGAGTTTAAAAGATGTGCTAATGATTCAATTAATCATCAAGTGCAACCATTCAAGAAGTATGTTTAAAAGATGAATATATTGTCCTTGTAAGTGTAAGAACGGAGTAGTATTTATATTTTCTAGATCACATCTCGGATATCTGGATCTTGGAAAAAAATACAATTTCAGCAAAACCTTTCAGACAAATGATTTATGAGGAATAGTTTATTTTGAAGAAAATTAATTTACTGTATTATTAAAACATTTATATAAGCTAGGTGATAGTAAAACTATAAAAGTACAGGGGGAATGAAAAAATACCTTTCCCTTAATAGATAAGCTATATTGGTCTTTTTTAAATTGTTCTTTTCTAGAATCTAACTTTTGAATAATTTTTGAAATACTTTGAAATTGTTGTTTAGCATTATCATTTAATTCACTCTGTTATTAAGCATGCAACCACAAGGTAAAGAAACCCAAAGAATATTTATTAATTACATTTGAAATAAATACGGATAAGTATTGCGCGAAAAATTACATTTTGCTTTTAAGTATTTTACGACATGAAATATTACTGAACCCTCGGTTCACGTTCATCTGTGTTTGCAAAACAGGATTTTTTAAGTTTAAGGAAGGAATCAATCACGACATGCGTTAGCATGTTTATATTTTTTCTAATTTCTAGCATTGCTATTATGTTCCATTTTATCAGCAAGAAGCTATCCAAAATAACAATACATAAATTACAATTAGGACTAAACAAAAACCTTAAAAGTTTATATGAATCTCTTTCCTTTCTAATATTCACATAGTCTGTCCGAGTGGTAATTACGGTGAAAACTGCACAGAAACCTGTACCTGTGACAATGACAACACCGTGTCATGTGACCCTGTCAACGGAACGTGCAACTGTTCCGAAGGATGGAGTGGAGTTAGATGTCAAGATGACATTAATGAATGCAATACTACCACGTGCCCGGACAATTCGAAATGTTTCAATACTGAAGGATCATTCTACTGCAAATGTGACGGAGGTTATTTCACGACCAGTGATGGAACTTGTCAAGGTAAAGTTAACATAAACGAGACATAAACAATAAATGATGGCCAGATTAACACATTACCACAAAACGTCTAACTATCGTCTATATAAAACTTTCGTAATATGACGGCTTTACAAGTAGTTTACTTAATATGGTAGTAGGCATAAAATATCAAATGTTATGCACATTTTTTCGTGCGTAAACATCAGCCATTAGAGCACCTATAACCCACTGTTCTCTAATTATTGAATATGGATGAATCCCCAGCCACCAGAAAGGTATATAATATTTTATGCCAGTTATAGTTCATATAGAAGCTTTATATTAAATAATCCAGTTTGGTAGTTTGGCATTATTTTTCATTTATGATAGATCTTAACTGGAGACCAAGTTTTCATAGCCATAGTCCCATATATATATAATTCCTACCATAGAATTTGTACCAGATCACAGGCAAGACGTAACACCGTATTTGTCAAGCCTTTCATTTCATCTTATATTATGCATTATTCTAGACGTAACATAGGAATATCCGTGACCCAAGATTTGCAAAACAGGATTTTTTAAGTTTAAGGAAGGAATCAATCACGACATGCGTTAGCATGTTTATATTTTTTCTAATTTCTAGCATTGCTATTATGTTCCATTTTTCAGCAAGAAGCTATCCAAAATAACAATACAAGAATTACAATTAGAACTTAACAAAAATCTTAAAAGTTTATATGAATCTCTTTCCTTTCTAATATTCACATAGTCTGTCCGAGTGGTAATTACGGTGAAAACTGCACAGAAACCTGTACCTGTGACATTGACAACACCGTGTCATGTGACCCTGTCAACGGAACGTGCTACTGTTCCGAAGGATGGAGTGGAGTTAGATGTCAAGATGACATTAATGAATGCAATACTACCACGTGCCCGGACAATTCGAAATGTTTCAATACTGAAGGATCATTCTACTGCAAATGTGACGGAGGTTATTTCACGACCAGTGATGGAACTTGTCAAGGTAAAGTTAACATAAACGAGACATAAACAATAAATGATGGCCAGATTAACACATTACCACAAAACGTCTAACTATCGTCTATATAAAACTTTCGTAATATGACGGCTTTACAAGTAGTTTACTTAATATGGTAGTAGGCATAAAATATCAAATGTTATGCACATTTTTTCGTGCGTAAACATCAGCCATTAGAGCACCTATAACCCACTGTTCTCTAATTATTGAATATGGATGAATCCCCAGCCACCAGAAAGGTATATAATATTTTATGCCAGTTAAAGTTCATATAGAAGCTTTATATTAAATAATCCAGTTTGGTAGTTTGGCATTATTTTTCATTTATGATAGATCTTAACTGGAGACCAAGTTTTCATAGCCATAGTCCCATATATATATATATAATTCCTACCATAGAATTTATACCAGATCACAGGCAAGACGTAACACCGTATTTGTCAAGCCTTTCATTTCATCTTATATTATGCATTACTCTAGACGTAACATAGGAATATCCGTGACCCAAGATTTGCAAAACAGGATTTTTTAAGTTTAAGGAAGGAATCAATCACGACATGCGTTAGCATGTTTATATTTTTTCTAATTTCTACCATTGCTATTATGTTCCATTTTTTTCAGCAAGAAGCTATCCAAAATAACAATACAAGAATTACAATCAGAACTTAACAAAAATCTTAAAAGTTTATATGAATCTCTTTCCTTTCTAATATTCACATAGTCTGTCCGAGTGGTAATTACGGTGAAAACTGCACAGAAACCTGTACCTGTGACATTGACAACACCGTGTCATGTGACCCTGTCAACGGAACGTGCAACTGTTCCGAAGGATGGAGTGGAGTTAGATGTCAAGATGACATTAATGAATGCAATACTACCACGTGCCCGGACAATTCGAAATGTTTCAATACTGAAGGATCATTCTACTGCAAATGTGACGGAGGTTATTTCACGACCAGTGATGGAACTTGTCAAGGTAAAGTGAACATAAACGAGACATAAACAATAAATGATGGCCAGATTAACACATTACCACAAAACGTCTAACTATCGTCTATATAAAACTTTCGTAATATGACGGCTTTACAAGTAGTTTACTTAATATGGTAGTAGGCATAAAATATCAAATGTTATGCACATTTTTTCGTGCGTAAACATCAGCCATTAGAGCACCTATAACCCACTGTTCTCTAATTATTGAATATGGATGAATCTCCAGCCACCAGAAAGGTATATAATATTTTATGCCAGTTAAAGTTCATATAGAAGCTTTATATTAAATAATCCAGTTTGGTAGTTTGGCATTATTTTTCATTTATGATAGATCTTAACTGGAGACCAAGTTTTCATAGCCATAGTCCCATATATATATATATATAATTCCTACCATAGAATTTATACCAGATCACAGGCAAGACGTAACACCGTATTTGTCAAGCCTTTCATTTCATCTTATATTATGCATTACTCTAGACGTAACATAGGAATATCCGTGACCCAAGATTTGCAAAACAGGATTTTTTAAGTTTAAGGAAGGAATCAATCACGACATGCGTTAGCATGTTTATATTTTTTCTAATTTCTACCATTGCTATTATGTTCCATTTTTTTCAGCAAGAAGCTATCCAAAATAACAATACAAGAATTACAATTAGAACTTAACAAAAATCTTAAAAGTTTATATGAATCTCTTTCCTTTCTAATATTCATATAGTCTGTCCGAGTGGTAATTACGGTGAAAACTGCACAGAAACCTGTACCTGTGACATTGACAACACCGTGTCATGTGACCCTGTCAACGGAACGTGCAACTGTTCCGAAGGATGGAGTGGAGTTAGATGTCAAGATGACATTAATGAATGCAATACTACCACGTGCCCGGACAATTCGAAATGTTTCAATACTGAAGGATCATTCTACTGCAAATGTGACGGAGGTTATTTCACGACCAGTGATGGAACTTGTCAAGGTAAAGTGAACATAAACGAGACATAAACAATAGATGATGGCCAGATTAACACATTACCACAAAACGTCTAACTATCGTCTATATAAAACTTTCGTAATATGACGGCTTTACAAGTAGTTTACTTAATATGGTAGTAGGCATAAAATATCAAATGTTATGCACATTTTTGTCGTGCGTAAACATCAGCCATTAGAGCACCTATAACCCACTGTTCTCTAATTATTGAATATGGATGAATCTCCAGCCACCAGAAAGGTATATAATATTTTATGCAAGTTAAAGTTCATATAGAAGCTTTATATTAAATAATCCAGTTTGGTAGTTTGGCATTATTTTTCATTTATGATAGATCTTAACTGGAGACCAAGTTTTCATAGCCATAGTCCCATATATATATAATTCCTACCAGATCACGGACAAGACGGGACACCGTATTTGTCAAGCCTTTCATTTCATCTTATATTATGCATTATTCTAGACGTAACATAGGAATATCCGTGACCCAAGATTTGCAAAACAGGATTTTTTAAGTTTAAGGAAGGAATCAATCACGACATGCGTTAGCATGTTTATATTTTTTCTAATTTCTACCATTGCTATTATGTTCCATTTTTTTCAGCAAGAAGCTATCCAAAATAACAATACAAGAATTACAATTAGAACTTAACAAAAATCTTAAAAGTTTATATGAATCTCTTTCCTTTCTAATATTCACATAGTCTGTCCGAGTGGTAATTACGGTGAAAACTGCGCAGAAACCTGTACCTGTGACATTGACAACACCGTGTCATGTGACCCAGTCAACGGAATGTGCAACTGTTCCGAAGGATGGAGTGGAGTTAGATGTCAAGATGACATTAATGAATGCAATACTACCACGTGTCCGGATAACTCGAAATGTACCAATACTGAAGGGTCTTTCTACTGCAAATGTGACGTAGGTTATTTCACGACCAGTGATGGAACTTGTCAAGGTAAAGTTCACTGATAACTGAAGCATAAAATAACGGCAAGATTAATACATTACAACAACACATCTTACTAAGATAAAGCTTTAATTTGCGCTCTGACATATCATGCTGGCTATATTAACTTTAGTAAGAGGCTAAGCAATGTCAATCGCCTTACAATAAAGTGTTTATGCGCAGTTGTTCGTGCGTTTGCATGTACAGAAGCACGAAGGCGCATATATAGCCCGCAGGTCGAGGGAGTTGATAACCTATGGGCTTCTGCAGATGTTAACGCAATTTTTAATTTGCATAAGTGACATTCTTGCATTACAATATACGTCTATTTTGGCAATTCGTTATAATTATGTTTTCGGAAAAGGGAAATCATTAATATGTTATGTTTCAACCGTGCTCTTGCGATGTTATTAAAAGGTTATTTTTTGGTATATCGACTTACAGTGCCGTCAATGCAAAATGCTACCCCTTAATGCCATCAAGAGTCGCGCATATTAGAAAGGTGAAACAACAGTGTTCACACGAAATTATCCGTTAATGCATGTTTTCTTCTTCGTAAATGTATACCTATGATCGTAGTTTGTATGCAAAAAAAACAAACATTTAAACAATGCCTTTTGTAAGATTTCAAGTCATTGTATGCCTTAGAAATACTATCATTTGTATTTTTAAAAAACTTTGAATTTTTGGCATCTTTGTACAGTTTCTAAAGAAATACTCATTTGCCATATTGTTTAACTATCTTTGTTTTTTGTTTGTTTTTTTTAGTTGGCAATTGGTATGATTATAGTGAACTAGTATTTTGTATTGAAGTCAAAATACTATTTCGTTTACATTTTGCTGCCTTTATGCCACATGACTGCACATTCAACACTACTTTCTTTACCTGTTGAGCATCTAACATGCATTTAAACCATTAGTAAAATATTGATAGACATTTGTTTGACTTTTCTAAAGGCTTAAATCAATATGGTTTCTGAGGCATATTGTGCCTGTAATAATAACACAACACAGTTATGTTATACTATAAAGATTACTTTCAAAAAAGGTTATTGTGTAATTTTCTGCAGCTATCTGTATTAGAAAAGTCTAAAACAAAGAACCTCAAAAAATATAAGATTAAACATTAAGAATATATATATTGCAGTCATCACCATCCGCAAGTTTTACACCTGTTATTTATAGATTCCGGGTTTCTTTATACCTTTAAGAAACTTTAATTTCATTTTCAGGTTGTCGACAGAATACATTTGGTTATGAGTGCAACAGTACGTGCGCCTGTAATGAAAACACAACACAGTTATGCAATCCTATAAATGGTATGTGTACATGTAAGACTGGTTGGCAAGGAGACACGTGCAGTGAAGATACCGACGAATGTGAAACCGGAATGTTTGATTGTCCGGAAAACTCAACGTGTGTAAATAGAAACGGCTCTTACCAATGTAATTGTGTACCTGGATACATGCAAGTAAACGGCGTATGTCGAGGTAATGTCAAAACTTTAAAGTTCGCAAAATAAGATTCTAGTATTGTGAATGGCAAACACTATACGATTACTAACAGCTGAAGAAAAACCCAAATGTGTGTGTTTTTTTTGTAAAGTAAAGAGGAGGAAGATTTTTATTTGATTAAATTAGAATGCTAGCTATTCAACACATAAATCTAAGAGGTCCACGTTAAAATAAATCCCAAATTACAAATACTAAACTTATTTTCATTACAATAAAACACTATATAGTTTTATTGTATTTTTTTTTCAAAATGCACATTGATCTCCTTTTAAAGCTGCATTAAAAAAGTTTTCCAAAAAAAAAGAGAAAAATCTTCATTTCTTTAATTAAATGTGTTTCAAATCAACTTCCTTTTTTATGTTGGTATCCACACAACAAAAATGACTTTTATAACCCTAAAATTTTGCAACCTCATTGTGGCGAAATCGGAAGTGCAGTTTCTATTTGCATGAGAAACTACGCCTTTGGGTCATCCATACATCAATAGAAATAGAAAAAAAGAAGTCCGAATTTAACGGTATATTTCCGCATCTTATTACGATGTTTTCATAAAAATTCGATTGTTTTGAGGACATGATTACTTTTTTGTGAACGACAGGGCTAATGCACCGTGAAACGAAACGGTAAAAGTTTGTTTTCACAAGAATATCTCATATTTGCTGTTATCCACATAGTAAGAATTGATTTTACCCCTGTAGTGCATACACTAGCTAATCATACAGTATTTATTTGCATGTTAGAATTCGTATACGAACTTTTGTTTTACCGTGTTTTTAATGATAACTTATGAACAATATTGAATGAGATTTACAACAATACTGTAAAAAACGGTAACGGAACTGGAATTGCTTGGTTTTTAAACCAGCGTAAAAATATGTTGACATATTTAAAGCAGCTTTAAGTAAATTGGTTTTCCAAACATGATTGATTTTCGTATTGACGCCTTGTGGATGCTAATTTAATTTTAATTAAGCTCGAAAATGTTATGATGTGACTGTAATATGTTGTTCTGATCCTGGTTACACTGGACAGTTTTGCATTACAGATATTGACGAATGCTCGGATAATCCATGCACAGACGCACATCGAACAGTTTGTATAAACAGCCTTGGTTCCTATTCCTGTGATTGTGAAGATGGTTTTGAACTGACCAGTAATGAAACCTGCGTTGGCAAGTATTGCTGAAATATATATTTAGAAGCTTTTTGTTTCAGCGAATTGTATAAGAATATCGCTTGAGAATTATATCCAAACTCCAAATTGATAAATGACATATTAAGCTTTTTATTTAAAAATTATGCAATTAACCATGTAGAAACGACAACAAGAGTCCACGACGTTTTTGTACATACCTCATAGAAAAACATATTAGATATACATCTGATAACTTATTCATCATCTGAGATTAAATTGTATCTGTTTGTAATAAGCCAAGAATTGCTCTTGTTAGAAGTTTTGTGTTTGTTTATCTCTGTTGAAAATATAGTAAGCACTTTTTTGTACAATTGACAATCTTGTTGTGTTAAAGTTATAAAAGAAAGAAAAGGGGAAATGTCTTTAACTACATTAGATTGATCAATTTTACTTCAACAAAAATAATTCTTCTACAACTACAGAACCAACAACAAGTTCAACAACAACAGAACCTACAACTATTAAAACAACAACAGAAACAACAACAACAACTACAGAGCCTACAGTAATTCAGTCTGGTAAGTTTCAGATTTATCATTTTGTAATTTATGTTTATTTATTTCATCATTTGTACTGTCATACTATTTAAGTTTTGCCGTCTTTTTTTATCCTGTATTATGAAAATCCCTACGCCCAGATTACATTTGACAGGACTCGCATTACTATTTGAATAAATACTTCTCGATATGTAGAAACAAGATCATTCTTGCCTTCATATTTTTTCTGGTTGTAAAACGCTCGCATTTTGTATGTTTGACTTAGCTTTGTCCGAGTATCTGCTTATTTTGTAAATGATCTCATCTTTATACTTGGCAGGTTTTTTATATTTCTTTATGTCTAAAGTCTACGTAAATTTTGGTCTGATATTAAAACATGTTTTATTCAATCGATAAATTACTCTTATGATAGAGGTCATCTTTACAGAAACAAAGTATTATTTCTCTTTTACAAAAACCAGGTAAAGACACGCAAATATTAAGTAACTGGCGACCTATAAGTTTTTTAAATGTAGAACAAAATATTGAAACAAAAGCCATAGCAAATAAAATTAAAAGGTTATAAAATCTATTTAATAAATAATGCACACACAGGTTTCATAAAATGTTGCTATATTGGCGAAAATGTTCATCTCATTTATGAAACAATAGACTTTGCTCAACAAAACAAAATACTGGAGCTATTATTATTTGGAGATTTTGAAAACGCCTCCGATACAATTGATCATGAATATAATTATTATCATGATGAAATGTTAAAAACTCTTCAATTTCGGTGAATCTCTGATTAAATGTGTAAAACATTTTAACGACATATGCATCTGGTTTTGGGAATATATCACCGTTTCAGTAAAATCTCTCGGGTAAAAAGTCGAGGAAAAGTTTCCTTTGAGAATTTAAAGGATTGTGTACTTTTAAAACATTTATACAAATAGTATATAGTTAAAATATGAAAATTGAAATAATAAGAATACGTTTACATTGTAATTTATTTAGTCAATGATGTTGATTTCTAAAATATTGATTTTAAATAGCTTAAGGAAACTTTTGAGATTGCTGTTTTGAAAAATCATAACTGTATTATTTTATAATTTAGTATCCACCAATGTCAAGAAACTCCAAAAAATATTTATGACTATTTGAAATCAATACTCATTATCATTCCGGGGTAAATTATATATTTGCTTATAAGTATTTCAAGATTTATTTTCTAGCACATAAAATGTTAAAAAGCCATATGTTCACATTATATTTGTTTAACATGTGTTATGCTAACTTTGAGTTTTGATTTACGTTTAATTTAACTTTATTATATTGTTATCTCAGAAAACAGGTTTATATCTATTTGTTTTTACTCAATAAATCTCATGGAAACAAGCTCTCTAGTTATTTACAATCTTTCTTTGTACTCCTTACTCTCTTCTCTTTCTGACCGTCAGCGAACAGATGCGGTTCCTATCTTTTAAAAGTCTTCCATTTTTCCAAAGGTTTTGCTTTGTAGGAATATTGTGTTTGGCCCTCTTGATAAGTGTAGATAACCTCGTAAACAGCCATCCTTTTCTAGAATTTTTACGTCAGCAACGTTCTTAGATATGTTTGAAATTCAAATTCCTAGAACAGGTCTATCTTTTACAGTCTGGGTGCCCGGTATACTACAATTTACCTTCTATAATCAGAGGTTATTATACGTTATTGAGTCCAATGTCTGTATTATGCTTGCTCTAACCCCTCAGTCAAACCGAATTTCAATGTAGCTTGTTATTTTAAGATGTTCACAATTTTTCATATTTACTTATTAAAATTTACATCTATTTTTCATTTATTGTACAATAGTTTCGAAACGGATAAATTGAAATAAATAACAAAAATACAATTATCAATGAAAGGTTATCAAAAAGTAAATTGAATTTCCTGTAAATCCACATGATTCTTAACGAATGCTTATAACTTTAAGAATTTTGTTAAAAATCCTCGTACGTATGTTTTTATGGCAGAGTTTCATTTAATTGTATGCGAATGTATTTAAGTTGTATAAGGTATATGGCTTATTTTTTACTTATTCATGTGCTTATTTTTTATCTATTTAATTATGTATGTATTTTATGTCAAAATTGCATTTTAGTAACACGTGGTTGAATTCAAATTATACACTGTATTAGCTTTATATTATGTCTATATAAGATTTGTATTTGAGTGATATACATTAGGTTTATATTTTGTCTATATCGGGTCGGGTTTGTATTTGAATTATATACACGAGGTTTATACTTTGGCTACATCAGGTTTGTATTTGATTTATATACATAAGGTTTCTATTTTGAACTTATCAGGTTGTTATTTGAGTTATATACATTAGGTTTCTATTTTGGTAATATCAGGTTTGTATTTGAGTAATATACATCAGTCTTATATTTTGGCTATATATCAGTTTTGTTTGTTTAGATAATTTCATAAGGTTTATTTTTTGACTATATCAGGTTTGTATTTGAGTTATGGTGAAGTAGAAGGAGACGACAGTATGACTGGAACAGATGACGGATGTAACGCTGTAATACGACCGTCCTTTGCTGTCCCGTTCAGACAGGCAAGATATAGAACGATCTACGTAAGTTGTTTTTCCAGAGAATTACACTGACGGTGGTGAAATTGCCTCCGGTATCTTTGTGTAATACCTTTAAACGAAAGAAGCAAAAGCTTTTTTCACTTTATAATAATAAAGAGTCCCAATTTAAAGGAGTAGAATTCCAATATTTAAGCGCGAGGATGTATGCCTACTTGTAAGCATGGCCACCGCTAGTAGAGCACTTTTTGACAATTCAATGAGGATTGTCATTTAATACTTTCAAAGAAAAGTTCAAGTCAGACCTTTCCATTTCAAAATTCATGTTATATAACACGAAAGTATAAAGCATGTCCACGTAACAATGAGACAGTGGCCAAAGTCTTATTAGAAAACCGCTAAATGTTTCATCTAAGATAGCAGGGAATCGAACTTGGAGCTACAAGAATTAAACTTACACAACTGTTCCCACATTTTGGTGTACGAATAAAACAAGGATTTTATAATGTTGTGTGTATATTTTATATTTTAAATTTCAGGTATGTGCTAATGGGCTCGTGTGTTTCAACAGACGTTATCAAAGTTACACAATTCCAGTAAACCGACAATACACACCTGATTTAGTTGGTATTTATTGTCTGGCTCCCTACTTCACAGATTTGGATTTGAGAAGCTCGGGTTCAGTGTGGTACCAGGCATATACCATGTCATCAGACGCTGAAAATATCAGAGAATCCATGAAAAATCTTGTAAATGAAACATACTCTATACAAATAACACCGAGTTTCATTTTCAAAGCAACTTGGAAGGAGGTCCCTTTATATGGTGGACCTAGGCACGAGGTACATATTAAATATATGTTTCTATATATAAAGTTAAAAACAAATTTAAAGAAATTCATCATCTCTTTAACGTATCAATTTTCTCTTCACTTATTACAATCGCAACTGTTACTGTTTTGATCAATGATTTAACGTACAATATTAATGAAGAAATATATTTGTAAAAACTTGATTTTAGAGTTTAATTGTTAACTAGTGCTGTACATTTCTCATAAATGTACATTCATACGTGTATAAAGTACTTTGGTAAGAAAAGTTGCAAATCCTTTATTTTTAACCTCATTTGTGGTAAATGGATAGAAGTCGACTTTGACGGTGGTATTAGAAGATTACCTAATGTATTATTCAATGTTATACACGTATGTTA